CCTGCTGAAGTACCATCCAAAGGAGATAGAATTCACCCTAATAAACATGAAAATTCCTGACTGGCTGGAGCCACTAGCATTCAGTCAGTTAGGTTTAAGACTTACAGCATCACCTATGAATCTATGAATTCATGTTAATGTATCTGCTTTGCTGCTCCTGAAGCCAGGCAGATTCAGCAAAATGAATTAAGCAAAACTAGAGAGCTGGATATTCAAGAACTACTGATGAAAGTCCAGCAGTGAAGTGGTTACAGTAAGCTTGTGCATATGTGTGCATTGAATTTTACGAGCTAGGTGACAGCCAAAATGTATCTGTCTAATGAATGAACATTAATAAATACTCACTCTTCAAAACAGAAAGATATGAAAAGAATCAAGTAAGCAAACTCATACCCAGGCTAAGTTGAGGCACAGCAACACACAGAGGACCCTCATTGATATCATCTTCAGGAGAAGAGCGAGCAGAACTCCGACTGAGAGGATGCTCTTCACCGGTCTTTTGGTGCAATTTAAACCTTAATGCAAAACTGAGATTAATCATTATACTCCCTCCTGTTTGGAGACAAAACATGCCAAATGCTCCCCTTCCCCTTAGGTGATTACCTAATGCCTCTTGCACAAGTTTCTGATGTTATTTGCTCCAGATAAGTTTGTACAACACCAACAGACGGGCAATACCATGTATTCCAGGAAAAAATCTGTCTAAAGCTTTGTTTCTCGTAACTGGATGTTCAACTAAGATGTATGCAGGACCTAGCGGGATCCAGCAATACATATCCGCTGGAAAACACATACTCTGTGTGATGGGTATTTAGCTAGCAGAATCAAAGAGTTGATATTTGGAAAAGGAAGTCATTGGTTTGCCCTTTATGTGTGACCGTGTTCCACTGCTGTGAAAGCCACTGGCCTTTCCAAAGCAAGTGCTAGCCTAAAAAAGGTTGATACAGTCTATCTGTGACCATGTGGTCAACAACTGGAATTAATTCCTGAGGAGTGCAGAGCCCAGTTTACATCAGTTTTTACAGCTGGACCTTGCTGGTGTTTGTATAGTGCATGACGGGTTTAACATTATGCTGTCTCTTACACAAATGGTATATGATAATTTTTTGTCAAGTAGGATTTATTTGAAATGAAAACATAGAATCATAGAATAGTTTGGGTTGGAAGGGCCCTCTAAAGGTCATCTAGTCCAACCCCCCTGCCTTGGGCAGGGACATCTTCAACTAGATCAGGTTGCTCAGAGCCCCGTCCAACCTGACCTGGAATGTTGCCAGGGATGGGGCATCCACCACCTCTCTGGGAAACCTGTGCCAGTGTTTCACCACCCTCAGCATAAAAAATTTCTTCCTTATATCTAGTCTAAATCCACCTCCGTTTAGTTTAAAGCCATTCCCCCTTGTCCTGTTGCAACAGGCCCTGCTGAGGAGTCTGCTGCCACCTTTTTTATAAGCCCCCTTTAAGTACTGACAGGCTGCAGTAAGGTCTCCCCGAAGCCTTCTCTTCTCCAGGCTGAACTCAGCCTTTCTTCACAGGAGAGGTGTTCCATCCCCCTGGTCATTGTCATGGCCCTCTTCTGGACCCGCTCCAACAGGTCCATGTCTTTCTTGTGCTGAGGGCTCCAGAACTGGACGCAGTACTCCAGGTGGGGTCTCACCAGAGCAGAGCAGAGGGGCAGAATC